GGCGCCCTCCCTGATGAGAATTTATTTTATCTTTTTTTTTTTTAAGATTTTATTTATTTATTTGACAGAGAGAGACAGCGAGAGAGGGAACACAAGCAGGGGCATGGGAGAGGGAGAAGCAGGCTTCCCGCTGAGCAGGAAGCCTGATGCGGGGCAGGACCCTGGGATCATGACCTGAGCCAAAGGCAGACGCTTAACGACTGAGCCACCCAGGCACCCCGCCTGATGAGAATTTAATTACAACATTTTGTTGCTCAAACTCTACCTATCCATCTTAGAAATAAACTATATTATATTCATAAAATCTCATGCAATCAGATGTTATTTCATTATGTATGTGTAGAAATTCTAAGGAAGCATTGAATCTAAGGATTATGGTGGTATGAGATTTTAGTTACCCATGTGTATGTAAACATTTCTAGTGGCAATTTTATTTATTATTTACTTACTTATTGATTATTTTTAAAAAGAATTTATTTATTTGAGAGAGAGTGAAAGCAAGAAAGATCACAGAGGGAGAGGGAGATGCAGACTCACCACTGAGCAGAGAGCCTGTTGTGGGGGTCGATCCCAGGACCCTGGGACCATGACCTGAGCCAAAGGCAGACGCTTAACTCACTGAGCCACCCAGGTGCCCCTCTAGTGGCAATTTTAGAAATATAATACCTCCTTAGAAGTATTTAACAAGTTATAAACTTGATTTTGGGTAGGCTTAACTACTTCATAAGATAGAACTTGAACACAGGGGCAAGTACCAAAGCAAATCCTTTACTACATATAATCAGTTAATGTTCAAATGTCAAAAACCTTAGACTCTCCTAAAAATATAATAGCTGATCAGCAAATAATTTGCTATATCTATTATTTTCAGCCGTTTGCACAATTAGATAAAGTCCTTGCTACTCCTTTATAAGATATATAATTCATAAAAAACTAATTATGGTGTAATTTTACAAATGTATTTCCCTCTCTCTGATTTTCTGTCTATATGTGACATGAGTAATAAATGCATTGCTAAAATAAACTTAGCATATTTTAAGAATTAGTTTCTTTTAGAATGTGCCTTTTTTAGAATGCTAGCAGATTATTCAGGTTTTTTTCTTTTAATTATCTCATGACCCATTTCACAAGGTACAACAACAAATTATACAATAAACCTATAGTGTTTTTTGTTTGTTTTGTTTTTTAAGTAGGCTCCACGCCCAACGTGGGGCTTGAACTCATGGCCCTGAGATCAAGAGCCACATGCTCTACCAACTGAACCAGCCAGGTGCCCCTGTAGTAAACCTATAGTTTTATAACTATTTAGATATTTTGTGTTTGTAGCATTGAAGTCCAACTATATTTTAGGGGAAAATTAATACATACAAAGAGTATTTTTAAGACCTTTTAATTTTGGTTAAAAGTGACATACTGTGGGGCTCCTTCCTGGGTGGCTCAGTCGTTGGGCTTCTGCCTTCGGCTCAGGTCATGATCCCAGGGTCCTGGGATTGAGCCCCGATCGAGCTCCCTGCTCTGCGGGGAGCCTGCTTCTCCCTCTTCTTCTCCCCCACTTGTGTTCCCTCTCTTGCTGTGTCTGTCTCTGTCAAATAAATAAATTAAAAAAAAAAAAGTGACATACTGTTATGACCCAAATAGTTTTAGATCCTAAGGGATGCCCAGCTTTCTGGCTTATGGCAAAAAACAAGTATTTGTAGAATTAAGTTCATAGCAGTAGTATGTGTTATAGACCAAACATGGTACATTCAATCCAATTCTAAGATGAAAAACAAAACATGAATACAATTAAAATGTGTTGTAATAAGTCCATATATATGGAAGTAATGAAAAAATTATTGTTTTTAAAGATTTTATTTATTTATTTGACAGAGACGCAGCGAGAGAGGGAACACAAGCAGGGGGAGTGGGAGAGGGAGAAGCAGGCTTCCCGCGGAGCAGAGAGCCCGATGCGGGGCTCGATCCCAGGACCCCGGGATCATGACCTGAGCTGAAGGCAGACGCTTAACGACTGAGCCACCCAGGTGCCCCTAGAAAATTATTTTTGAGTTGGGTGTATAATTTATTTTGCTGATGTTTAGTTGGGTGTATAATGTATTTTGCTGATGTTTAGTAGAGTAGAGTTTAAATAATCTTTTAAAAATACAATGATTGGGTGCCTGGGTGGCTCAGATGGTTAAGCGTCTGCCTTCGGCTCAGGTCATGATCCCAGGGTCCTGGGATCGAGCCCCGCATCGGGCTCCCTGCTCCGCAGAAGCCTGCTTCTCCCTCTCCCACTCCCCCTGCTTGTGTTCCCTCTCTCGCTGTGTCTGTCAAATAAATAAATAAAATCTTTA